ATTGTAATAATTCATACTGCCATAAACAGTAGCTCAGTTTTCTCTATAAGCCTAGTAGCAGTTCAAAAACACCCATGGTGTCTGAAGTAGGCTAATGAATATTCTACAGAATTAGAAACTGTAGTGGAAACAGGTTGATTTAATATATACACATATATTAGAACCGAAAGTGTGACACTCCAAGCTTTATATGTTAAACAGGACTTCAAAATTGTATTTAAAAAAAATCAATACACAGCCGTGTCATCAATGTTTTGGCCTCTCTCGACTTTCTCAGGACAAAAATATGTAGTCTAGTACACAAATATATAAATCCAATTAATTAACTTACCCAGAACCATGTGTGTGAGGGAGAGAGAAGAGCAGCCTATACACTAATCCATCCATAACCAGAAGTAATGTGGACAATCATACAGATGTGGAGTGTACTAAACAAGGTTGCTAAGCAACCAGAAGATCACCTAAGGAGTGAGTTCCAAACAGTGTGAAAACAAATTGTATGAGAATTAATCCATACATACATACATCCTGCTCGTTGTTATTCTTAACAATGCATTCATTTTCAATAATGTACATGGATTATATGTTTCTAAGGTATAACATTCCATTCCAGGTGTCACAATATAACCTTCTTGAGTCTTCGATACTGTGAAAATGTGACGGATTCTGGCATTGAGCTCCTAGGGAACATTGCATCACTGATTTCTATTGATCTTTCTGGAACTAGTATCACAGACCAGGTGCGTTTAAATGTCAAACATAGTCATAGTGTTCCGTGCTGTTCCATGCAAACCCTTTATATCTGAGGTTTTAGAAAGTCAGGAAATACAAGAATATTACTTTTGTGGTAACCATCCTCATTTGCCCAGTTATTAAGAGATTAAATCTGCAATTTTGAAGGTGGGTAATGTATACAATGTCTGAAAATCATATATATTTTTTGTATTCCTTTATTTAAGAGGTGATGAGGGCAAGCAGATCAGAGGTCAGGTTCAAAGGAACACATCAAGACAAAGTTTAAATTATGGGGGAAATGTATCTTTTTGGTTTTTGTTTGATTTCAGTCTGCACGCTCTCTAGCATGCAGTTTACACAGGAAACCAGCTTGCAAGCTCCAAGAGTGTGAGACTTGGAAACCAAATATAACTCATAGTGCAAAAACTCAGGTAATAAAACACATTTCTAGCTAATTCAGCGCTGTTGCTTAGGTTTGCCCACTAGAATTATGTAGGGCTCCTGAAACAAAATCCAGTTATAAAAGTCTCTCTGGGCAATGCCTAATATGACAAATGGGAAATCTCTCCATCATTGACTGAAAATTACAAGCTCAGGTAATTAGACATCTCATTTGAATTGAAATGATAAAATAATTTTTGATGTAGAAATTAGATTAGTAGCTCTGGTTTGTGTAAGGATCAATGTTGCTTCACTTACAGAGAGGTGGAGCTATGGCATGGCTTATCACTTCCCTTCCTACTCATGAACATTGTGCTGCCTATTGCTCTCCAGAATTCCAATGAAAGCACAGCTCTAAACAAGACCATGCTGCCTAGCCAGGTATCCAATACGATCTTGCCATGCTACCTAGCAAAGCTCTTTTCTCCAGCAAACACTCCTGACGGTCACAAACCCTCTCCCTAAGTAAACAAACAACAAAAGGAACAGCGCTATTTAACTGAAAACAAGAGGACAGCAAAAAAGGGATCCCTTTCAAACCGTTAGATGAGAAAAGCAAAAAACACAGAGGTAAGGGCTGCGCCTAAGATATACACAAAAATAGTAAGCAGCGACTAGTATATGAAAAAGATAATTAGTGAAATATAAAAAATAGTCACATATAAAGTCTTAAATAAAAATACCCACTTAGGTTGAAGAAAAGGCAAGTGGTCAAAAGGTCAAAGGGGAACAATCTTGTCTAGAAGGGAATGCAGATTTTCAAAGTCCCTTGATATGATCCGTATTTAGCATATAATGACAAAAGCGGGATAGACTCCAATAGTGCAATATATCAATATGATCAGAGTGGAGGTAATGAAAATAACAATGGGTTACTCAAAAAAAACCTCTGGGCAGGCTAATTGTGTCAGGTATCAATTCTTTTGTTATGTAACCTCTCAGAATACATAGACACTCTCCTCCAACCCTAATGCAATCCCATCTAAATGATTCAATATCACTCCTTAGATTTTTAAACAATTTTGTTTGCCAGCCAAATTTTATCTTAGTGACTTTTGATGTGCAATCTTTATACACTATAATCCCACATAACATAGGGTGTAAAGCAGTAAAATAAATTTTAACTAAGGAAGGATAACAGGATCCCAGATATACAAATTGATATTATTATAGTTGATATTAATATTATTTTAAATAACACTTATTTTGGTTTTTAGATTGTAAGGGAGCACTATGTGGCAGATTGTACTCCTTTGTGATGTTTAAATAATTGGCATTAAACTATGAAATCATATTCCTACCTACCAATATTTATCCACCCACCTTTCTGGGAGCATTTCTGTAATTGCATATGGCACTTACTTATAAACATGATACAATTTCTAAAAAAAAAAAAAAAAAAAACACATTTTGTTACACCACTATAATTTAGCTACCATTTAGTACCAAGATGAAAATATTTTCCAGTTTGAAAGCAAGACATATAATAAAGAAATGGTAACACTGCATTTTCACATGTACTGACTAATAATGGAGTAGAGCTATAAAGTGCACAGTCAACCAATTTTGCTGTCAATCTGCGGCATGTAATTTCATGAGTTCTATTTTCCATTTAGTTGACTAGTCAGCCATTTATACATGTTTCTTTTTTTTTTTTCAAATACATTTTTATTAATGTCAGACATTGTTAAACAAGTAAAACAACACATGTACATTAATCATTTTAAATGAAACAGATTCACAATGATAGTACAATAATTGACATTACAAGTTCATAGACCAGAGAGTTTAGAAAACGTAGAAACACAAAAATCAATAAAACATAATTAAAAGAAAAACGCATAAGCTTTATGCATTTGACCACCCCTTACCCCGGTGCATTTAAAACAGGTAGTAGAGGAGTCATTCCTAGCCATCAAATTAAGTTGGTGTGGAGTAAAATATGCATAGTATGCTTTTTTTTATCAACAAATTTTGATAGGAGACCACGGGGACTAGTTAACCCAGGTATTCAGGAGTACAAATGGGAAATGGAAGGCACACTTTCCCGATGTCAGTGTGTTCCAATCAGGAGTATATTCCATAGAGTGTATGTATATAAAGTAAAAGGCTTGGTTTGTGGTGCATAAAAGATAATTCAGTATCTGAAAGTATGTGAACCCAGGTAGGGGAAGGCCCGTGAAGCGCTCTCTGAGGCAGCCAATAGTGAGAAACATTTGGGTGTTAAAATCCAAAAAGCAGCTTAGTGATGTGATACTGTACCTTGGCCATAAGGTGAATGGTTATGCATTGGATCTATTTTGGAAAACAGCATTCCTGAGTAGGAGCAGATGTACGGAAATCAGAAGGTTTGCCCCCAGTTTAGCAAGATCCAACTTCCAAGCCATAATTGGGATGGCCACCAGGGCATTTGAAAGAATGATAAAGTTTTGTGTTCTCTGTAGCAGAGGCAGGTAGTCAAGTCATGCTAGAAAGGATTCTAATGCTAGATCCAAGTATCTTGTGATTGAATCCAGTTGAGTATATGCTGGAGCTGAGCTGCTTTACTGTATTCTCTAGCATTTGGAAGATTAAGTCTTCCATTTGATTTGGTATAGTTTGGAGAGAATCAGTCTGGTCTTCGGCGCGTGCCCAAAAATATGTCTCAACCGCAATTTTGGGAAGCAAACCAATTTGTACACATTAGCTCGTTCTGTATATTAGACGGGTAATTTGTGTCAATGTTCTAATTCTATGAAAATTGAGTAGAGAACAGGTGGAATATTAATTTTGTATAGAAGGGCAATGTTTTTTTGGACTCTTGATCCCTAAATATTGTTAAGGCTGTTGACTTCAACCTTAATGGTCATAAAAAGTGTCAAGTAGGTCAAGTAAGGAAAAGGTTGGCTGTGACGTATATAGGAGATGGCCATCAGCAAAAGCTGATATTTTCATAGTGACATCACCCACGGGAATACCTCTGTAACCTTGAACGACTCACAATAGTGGATCTATGGCCAGATTAAATAATGTGGGATGGGATTATGCTTGCGACCTTGATGGGTAGACTGTGATCAAAGATACACTCAAAGATACAGTACTCAGAGAGACTGTCCATCTGTCCTATGTCATACCTCCTCTAGGAACCCTTTGTATATTTTCAACTCTCACGCTCCCCCACACAAGGTCTGACTTTATATATGAGACCAGATTCTCCCATTACCAGATAGCCCTGACAAAATTGGTGCACCCAGACCAGGTAGGCTCTATTCATACAACATAGACACGTGATAACAAACAGATGTTATGATTTACTTTGGTATGCCAACCATAAACAAATTCCCACCCTACTGCTCTCTTTCGTTGTTGAGAAGGCATTTGAGTTACTCTTCCAGTCATTTCTACTTGTTACTTTGAGTAGGTTTGGATTTCCTAAATATCTATAAAAACAATCCGCTGGCCATTTCTCTAGCATCTATAAAAAAACATTCGGTGGCCTTCTCATACCCTTCAACATTTGACATTCACAATAGCACTATGTAAGGATGTCCACTACCCCCTGCTGTTTACCCTTTCTCTGGCCACTTTTACAAAGTGTTTAGAGAAAATGACTCTATTTCCAGGATCTGGATACGGGGAGAGGACTATAAAATTGCAGCCTATGCACATTACTTCTTTTTGACTCTGACAAACCCACAGACCTTGCTCCCATATCTCCTTTCCATCATTGATAAATATCTCCAACTCTCTGGCTATTCGATTTAAATTGTTAGATCTAAAAAATGTATGATCAATTTCTGGAGTAAATACAAGATTAAAAGTGTTATCGTTGATAAAACCAATACAGGAAAGGAAGGGGTGACTAGTGACAGAGTGAGGGGATGACTGGTGACAGAGTGAGGGAGGTGGTGACTAGTGACAGAGTGAGGGAGGTGGTGACTGTCACTAGTCACCACCTCCCTCACTCTGTCCCTAGTCACTCCTTCCTCTGTCACTAGTCACCCCCTTCCTCACTGTCACTAGTCACCTCCTCCCTCTCTCTGTCACTAGTCACACCCTCCCTCACTCTGTCACTAGAGTGAGGGGGTGAGAGGTGACAGAGTGAGGGAAGGGGTGACAGGTGACAGAGTGAGGGAAGGGGTGACTAGTGGCAGAGTGAGGGAAGGAAGGGGTGACTAGTGACAGAGTGAGGAAGAGGGTGACACAGTGACAGAGTGAGAGAGGGGGTGACTAGTGACAGAGTGAAGGAGGTGGTGACTGTCACTAGTCACCCCATCCCTCCCTCTGTCACTAATCACCACCTCCCTCACTCTGTCACTAGTCACCCCTTCCCTCCCTCACTCTGTCACTAGTCACCCCCTCCCTCTCTCTGTCACTAGTCACCCCCTCCCTCTCTCTGTCACTAGTCACCCTCTTCCTCACTGTCACTAGTCACCCCCTCCCTCTCTCTGTCACTAGTCACACCCTCCCTCACTCTGTCACTAGAGTGAGGGGGTGACTAGTGACAGAGTGAGGGGGTGACAGGTGACAGAGTGAGGGGGTGACTAGTGGCAGAATGAGGGAAGGAAGGGGTCACTAGTGACAGAGTGAGGGGATGACTGGTGACAGAGTGAGGGAGGTGGTGACTAGTGACAGAGTGAGGGAGGTGGTAACTGTCACTAGTCACCACCTCCCTCACTCTGTCCCTAGTCACCCCTCCCTCTGTCACTAGTCACCCCCTTCCTCACTCTGTCACTAGTCACCCTTTCCCTCCCTAACTCTGTCACTAGTCACCACTTTCCTCCCTCACTCTGTCACTAGAGTGAGGGGGTGACTAGTGACAGAGTGAGGGAAGGGGTGACTAGTGGCAGAGTGAGGGAAGGAAGGGGGGACTAATGACAGAGTGAGAGAGGTGGTGACTGTTACTAGTCACCACCTCCCTCACTCTGTCACTAGTCACCACCTCCCTCTGTCACTACTCCCTCCCTCCTTCTGTCACTAGTCACCCCCTCCGTTCCTTACTCTGCCACTAGTCACCCCCTAACTCACTTTGTCACTAGTTATCCCCCTCTCTCACTCTGTCACCAGTCATCCCCTCACTCTGTCACCAGTCATCCGCTCACTCTGTCACCAGTCACCCCTTCCTTCCCTCACTCTGCCACTAGTCACCCCTTCCCTCACTCTGTCACCAGTCATTCCCTCACTCTAGTGACAGAGTGAGGGAGAGGGTGACTAGTGACAGAGTGAGGAAAATAGTGACTTAGTATTAGAAGTGAGGAAAGGCAGACATCTAGTGAGGGAGGGTGTGACTAGTGACAGAATGAGGGAGGGAGATGGTGACTAGTGACAGAGTGAGGGAGGTGGTGACTGTCACTAGTCACCCTATCCCTCCCTCTGTCACTAGTCACTCCCTCCCTAACTCTGTCACTAGTCATCCCCTCACTCTGTCACTAGTCACCCCCTCCCTCACTCTGTCACTAGTCACCCCTTCCCTCACTCACTCTGTCACCCCTTCCCTCACTCAGTCACCCTTTCCCTCCCTCAATTTGTCGCTAGTCACCCCTTCCCTCCCTTACTCTGTCACTAGTCACCCCTCCCTCCCTCTGTCACTAGTCATCCCCTCCCTCACTCTGTCACTAGTCACCCTCTCCCTCACTCTGTCATTAGAGTGAGTGGGTGACTAGTGACAGAGTGAGGGAGGGGTGACTAGTGACAGAGTAAGGGAGGGAAGGGGTGACTAGCGACAAATTGAGGGAGGGAAAGGGTGACTGAGTGAGAATCACAAGACCCAGACCTACACCTTATGATGCATAGTATGTCTCTGAAGTATTAAAAATGAAGGCACAGTGACAGTGAGGGGGGTGACTAGAGCCTACCTGTCTCTCTGCTTCCTCTTCTGTCCCCGGCTGCTGCTCCTTCCCCTGCTGGGCTCTGTGTGAGAGAAGAGTAAACAGGAAGTGAGGTCACTTCCTAGCCCCGCCTCTCCCCATCACACAGAGCACCGCGGGACAGGGAGAAGGAGACCTGGCAGAGAGGCGGTGAAGCTGCCAGGTCTCATTTGGGGGGGGGGGGAGTGATTTACAGAGCGGTAGGTTGTGGGGCCCCGCACTGCATCAGGGGCCCCACAACCAGGCCCGGACTGGCCATCGGGCACACCGGGCAAATGCCCGGTGGGCCGCGGTGGCCATGGGCCGAGGCCGACAGGGGAGGTCCCAGGATCTCCCCTGCCGGTCTATGCAGGGCCGGCACTATCCGAGCGCCGGCCCCGCTGTCTTCCATGGAGGGCCGGTGGGGAGATCAAAGATCTCCCTCACCGGCCCATTTAAACAGACCTGCGGCTGGGGAGGGAGGGAGAGGACCCGGCGGAGCTCTATCTTGCAGCTCCGCCGGGTTCCTCTCGCGAGATCGGGAGCGTTGCCAGGGCAACACCCCGATCTCGCGAGAGTGTTCACTCACCACTGGACCGCCAGGGATCGTGTACGAGTGCCTGTGCCCCCCCCCATCCCAGCTACCACGGGCCTGCCCCCCCCAGGCTAAAGGTAAGAAGGGAGGGGGGGATTTAGTTGTTTTTTTTTTGCTTAGTTTTTTTATTGTTTATTTTTTTGTTTATTTTTTTTTTATTGTTTATTTCCCCCACTTAATTTTTTATTTATTTACCCCCAACACACAACATTTATACACAACACTCTCACACACTTCACACACATCATACACAGCACTCTCACACCCAGCACTCTCACACCCAGCACTCTCACACACAACACTCACACACACAGCACTCAGCACTCTCACACACATCACACTCAGCACTCACACACATCATACACAGCACTATCACACTCAGCACTCACACACATCACACACAACACTCTCACACACATCATACACAGCACTATCACACTCAACACTCACACACATCATACACAGCACTATCACACTCAACACTCACACACATCACACACAACACTCTCACACACATCATACACAGCACCCACACTCACAGCACCCTCACACAAATCAATCACATACAGCACCCTCACACACACAGCTCACACCTCACACACAGCATCCATCACACACACATACTGCACCCCGCACATACACACACAGCCCCCCGATACACTGCATCACACACATACACAATACTTCCAAACATATTTATATAAACTATATATATATATATATATATACACATACACACAACACCCCTCACACACACAGCACCCCTCACACACACACTGCACCCCTAAACACATTACATTCCAGACACACACTAGATCCTTTAGCCAACTCTGGATCATATACACACACTAGATCACTATATACACTCTGAATCCGTTATATACGCACGCTCACTAGATCTCCTATACATAGTCTGGGTCCTTCAAACACACATAAGACTCATATATATATATATATATATATATATACACACACACACACACACTCTGGATCCCCTATATGCACACTAGATTCCTTGTAAGCAAACACATACTACATTCCCTGAACACACACTCTCTACAAACACTACATCACCTATACACACACACACACACACTATAGCCTATATGCACACACTTGCTATATCTCCTATACACACATTCTCTACAGCCCCTAGCCACATATGCATTACATTACACCACAAACACAACACGACTAAAACCGACCTTATTACACAATACCACACCACGACCAGCTCACTCTGCACACACGCAATACCACAAGCAGGCTCCAAACACATGCACAATACTCTTTCCTGGCCCTTTTGTCTCCTGGTATCCATTTATAGAGACACCAGAGACAAGTTGCAAGGAAACACAGTGCAAGCATGTTATTAAATTTGCTTGCACTGTGCAGAACAAATACAGGGCTTTTTTCTCATGCTAGAGCTCTTCAGCAGAGCTCTGCGCATGGTCTGCCCTGGAAGAGCATTGAACTAACATGCTCACTTTGAGAGGGGGCGTGTTTGTCATGAGTGATGACAAAACACACCCTCTCTGCCCCGCCCCCTTCTTAGTGGGCCGCTGTGATAAAAAAATGCCCGGGCCGAATTTTTTTCCCAGTCCGGCCCTGCCCACAACCTATCAATTAAATAGTTTTATTTTATTATTTTTTGCTGTTTCAGTTGGAGAGATCTCTGATCTCTCCAGCTGGAGCATGGCTGTGCTGCCGGGCCCTTGACTGTCTCGGGCCCTCGGTCCATGACCGAAGTGCCCGAGAGGTCAGTCCGAGAGGTCAGATATTGGCCCAGTCTTGTTGCTAGGTGCATACTCCAGCACAATAACATATTTAAAGTGAAGAGCGCACCCAGAGGACTTCAAAATAAACATTTTTTTACATACATACATTCACCATTTCAGTACCATTAACAAGCTTTCCTTAATATGTCAAGGTAGTTGGACTGAAACATTGATTACATGCAAAGGCATATCTGCTTAAAATAAATATGCACTTTTGTTTATTTTGAAGCCTGTGAGTGCGCTTTTTTAATTTTAAGTTATCTGTTCTAACTCTGTATCTGCACACTATTCTGGCGTGACGCATTATGGGGCTGGTAAATATTTTTTTTCCAGGGCTGCTTTTAATTCCCAGTCCGGCCCTGGTTATAATCACCTAAACAAAATCTTGTGTTTTTACAGGTCTGTTTTATATATCTATCCCATTTGGACTAGGCTTTCTTCCAAAAATTAATTAATTGATTTGTCTAGCCTTTTGTTCATAAAGTTTTTTGGTTTTTTTCTACAATTTGTATAAATGATACTATTGTTGGAGGGTTTTCTTTCAGCCACTCTCTACCTATAGCTGTCAGAGCTGCTATAATGATATAATATATTAGATATTGTACTGTTAAAGTAAGATTTTTAGGTAAGATTTGTAACAAAAATGTTTCAGGGGTATTAGAAAGTTTCATTCTTGTGCACATATATATAATTTTGCTAATTTCCATCCAGAATTGTGTTACTCTTGGGCACGACCAGCAAATATGCAACATAGTGCCTATCTCTGATAGATATCTCCAACAATTATCTGAGGCTTTGGAATTTGCATGTTTTAATCGAACTGGGACCATGTACCATCTAATTAATATCTTCCTTGTTAGTTCTATATGGTTAGTACACATGGTAAGAGATTTATGACCTCTCAGAAGTTTCTTCCATGAGGAGTCGCTGAAAATGCATCCCAAGTCGCTTTCCCAGGATTTAATAAAGGATGGTTTATCAGAGCTAGAGTAAGCAATATCTTCTGCATATAATACTGAGATAAGTTTTTGGAGGGGTTTTAATTTCAAACTCATTTTTTCAATATCCGTCAGTTGCTGCCCATTTACATTTTTCTGAGGATTTACATAATATTTCAAAAGTCAAGAATACATTTGTTAATATGAAAATGTAGCTATGGTTTGAAATACCATAGTTGATTTTAAGTGTTTCAAAATCAAGAAATTGGTTATTATAGAAGAGCTGATATATATGTGTAATTCCTGACCATTTAATAATGAAAGGAGGAGCACAACCAATAAAAATGCAATAAACTTTATTATACAGGCTCACATATACAAGGTATCAACAAAGATAATATAGAATAACCATATACTTAACCCCTTAAGAACACATGACATGTGTGACATGTCATGATTCCCTTTTATTCCAGAAGTTTTGTCCTTAAAGGGCTAAACATATCTACCCAATATGTAAGCAATAACTGGGACCAAAGAAACCATGGAAAAATGCAGTTCATAATACTCCACATAAAATGGTGTAACCA